GATGACTTTACGTTTTATCCTGCAGCAAAGTTTCGATTGAAACCATAATACAAGTTTGTCTTCTTTACCCATTTTTTACAGCTGGTCCTTTTCGCAACCCTGAATGCAACTGATTACTCCCAAATGCTTTGGTAATGGCATACAATATTTTACTTATCTAGCATTTTGCTGTTTCTCCGCCCTTGGCGCATTGCAAATCAATTCTGCCCGTCATACCGGGCGTATACGTGATCTGGCCATCATTCTGGCCAAAACTTGGCTACGCTTTCAGCTGATTAAGTACACACAGCACACAGACTTGTGGAGTTTAAGCGGAGAAAACAACTTGGCACGAATTTGGCGCTTTTGTTGCGGTCAAGTTATTTTAGAATCTTAACCAAATAAACAAGAAAGCGAGAGAGAAAGAGAGAAATAAAGAAAGAAATGTAAACAAGTGCAGTGTAATGAAATAAAAAACGTATTTCGACATGAAAGCGAATTCTCTGGTGCGTATTTAAGCCGATTTGCTCATGAGAGGGCGAGAGTGAGAGAAATAACCACAAAATACTATAACAATTTTCAAGTTGTTTTCGCCGCATTTAAAATGTGTTTGCAAGGAAGGGAGAAGGGGAACGGGGTTTCCCCCATTTAGGTACAGATTCAAGCGCTGCCAATGGCAGTGTGATTAACTATTAGGTCAGTGATGAATATGATGTGGAGTCTAGCAACTAAGATCAGCTGACTCAGTGCGAATATGTGCAGGCTTAAAATCAAGGCCAAGTTAATGCCAATATTTAACTTTGTCCATTGGCTATTAAGTCATTAAACAGGCATTTAACCACATGAGAGAAGTTGTTTAATGAAGATTACTTTTGCATTATGTATATCTGATTGTTGGGTGTTATTATTTATAGCCACATATGTGTAACTATTTAACTACGTAAGCCAAAACACAAATGACCTCCAGTATGTGCACCAGCGTTTTGTAGACCAAATAGCTTGAGCCTCGAAGAACTGCCAGTTACACTTCGATAGTTTCAGCTTAGCCTGCTTGGCTGGCTGTGCGATAACATGAATAAATCAATCAGCTTTTAATGTAGTGTTTCATTGAGTGACTGAATGCCTTATTGATTGATTGACCGATTGATGAATTGGTTGATCAATTAAGCGTGCCGTGTGGCGGACCAACAACTTCACACACCCTCCGCCCCCCCGCCAACCAACCCTCTCACACACCAACAGTTCCCACGCTACTGTGGCAACTTGCAAGTGGCTCATCGATTGCTCGAGCTGTGTTTCGACTTGCGGTATTTGGTTTTTAATGAGCCCTCAGTCAAATTGTTGTGCCACTTTCTGATACAGCCAGAGAGAGACAATGAGTGAGAGTGAGAGTGAGAGAAAGAGACAGTGGGAGGCAGGGGAAGAGGGAGATTTGATTTATATAGCAGAGCTGATTGTGAGTGCTCCGCTTTAGAGCGATACTGACATTAAAATTGTGTCAACGTTGTCACTTTTATTTATTTTTACATTTATTTATTTACTTTTTGTTCATTCGTACTCGGCCTTGAGCAGCCTAGCAAGCACTGCGAGCACGCCGAGCTCTGATGTCATCCCAGAATGAAACTTTTTGTTTTGTTTTGTTTTTTTTTTTGCTTTTGCTCCATTTTTTCATTCAGATTTGAATTTTGGGTTCACTTGCCATGCAGTTCAGCTCAAAGAGCAGCCAACATTTGTAATTGGAAATTGAAATGTTGCCAAAGATCAACGTGACTTACTTAAAATTGATGTTACATTAAATTCAAAGTATTCCCGATATGCTCGATATACAGGAGAATAGGCGAGATATTGCCTTATTGCAGAGTATTTACAAGTCGACGCTAGCACGTCTTGAGCTGAGTCATTCTAACTAATTTAATTGGTAATGCAATGCAAATGGAATATTTATATGTTCGATGGACCGCTAAGTGCTTGCTAATAGAAGAGCTGACTTCTGTTGAATTGTCTGTCAATTTGGCAAATCATATGAATTTACAATGACCATAGAACATGTCGGCCAAATGGCCTTCGGCCAAACGCAGACAGTGGCCAATGGCAATGCAGTCTTTGCAAATGTCAGCCTTGTTTCGCTCTCTTCTTCACTCCATCTCTCTTCCTACTCTCTCTTGTCTCTTCTCCATGAAAGCAGCTGGAGATGACGTTGCGGAGGCGTGAAAATTACTTCTGCCCCGAATTATTGGCACAGACGACAGCCGGCCAGAAACAAAAGAGATATTCATAAATATGTAATCAGGCAGACAGCTACCTGAACAGCCTGCATACGGTCCGGGTCGAGTGGAGAGTGGGGAGTGGGGAGTGGGGAGAGGGGAGGAGGGGTTTGCGTGCTGTGCCAGCAAAGAGCATGCAAAATCATCAGGCACATAAAATGACATAAAAATAGTACAACATGCAGCAGCGGCAGTAACACGGAAACAAATAAAAATCAACAGGATTAAATATGCAGGCGAGACTCTGTCTCTGTCTCTGTCTCTGTTTGGCCATAGCTAGCCATCTCTCTCTCTCTCTCTCTCTCTCTCTCTTGCTTACGCTCACACACCCTCTCTTAATCACACACGCTCATTCTCTCTCCCACTCTTGCAGTGAGCTTTGCCCGGGGCTCGTTTAACAGCCTTGCCCGGCTCTAGCTCGGCTCCGGCCCCGGCCCCGGCTAAGGCTCTGGCTCTGGCTCCGATCCGGCTCAGCGTCTGGCCCTTATTCTTCTTCTTCTTCGTGTTCTGGCCGCTTTGGCATCGGCCAATCTGTAACATTTTGTCATGGATTTTCATGCAGTGTTGTCGACGTCGTCGTCGTCGTCGTTGGCGTTGCTGGCGTTGTTGTCGCTTCGTGTGTCCATGTCTGTCTTTGCGTCCCTGTCCTTGGAAAGTTTTACCTTGAGCACAGCACAGTTAAATTCAACAAGTAATAAAATTGCAATCTGCAATGATTGACTTTAACATACCCCGCACTCAAATTGCTCATTGTACGTAATTAGTGAAGATGAAAACTTACAGAAAGAATTTTCCATATACTTTAAAATAAAATTAATTAAAGTGGTCTGTAGTACATATTTTGCTTATTACAAGCATTATTTCTTAGTTTATTGTCTAAAAAAATGATGTTTTGTTCAAAATCTTGTGATCCTCTACATAATTATATTAGCGAATTGTTTTAAGTATTCAAATCTCCACAAAATCTCTGACAGAATTCTCGTGGTTCCAAAATAGCCACTTGAGTTTGTAAGTGCTGTCACCAGCACATCCGTAAACTGTGTATACCCTCCAGGTACAGGGTATATAACACGTACTCGCAACACAGTTCCATTTGCCAGGCCTTTGGCTTTGCATTTAAAACATATATTTCTCACGTTTCGCTCGGCTTCGCTTGGCAAAAAGACATTTGCGGAAATGGGCCACGTTTTGCCCGGTCGGGCGTCAAATGAGTTGGCACGGTTGCCATTTCATCAGGCCCTGGCCAGGAGGCATCCGTTCGCAATATTAAGTATTTAAACCGCTAGCAGCGCTGACAATTAGAGAGAGCTAAAATTCTTGCTGCTGCAACTTATCTCAAACATGAGGCATATAAACTCAAGGTGGACTCGGCTTCCTTTTGCTTTGACACAAAATGGAAACGTTTCCTGTGCATAAATTCAATGAAGCCACAACCCTCAAAGATGCATATAGAATGACCCAAGTTGCATAATTCATCCTCTTACCAATCAAACACACACACACACACAGTCACACACAGACACAGATACACACACAGGCAGTCCTTTACTTCACAAGCGGTGGCAGTTTTGGCTTATTCAAGTATTTGCTGCAAGTGTAGTCGACTCCCTCAACCCGCAACGCCGCTGCTCACACAATTTTACGCACAACATAACTAAATTAGAAGTTTGCATGCGCTCAACAGGGCGTATGCATGATATGTGCTCTGCCTGCAACCTCTCTGACGGAGCAAGAATATAATTGAATTATCCGATTACAAAGCTTGAAGGCTTGCAACACGAAATATTACTGAATAACTCAAAATTGTTAATATGAGAAAAACTAGAAAAATTAAATAAATAAAAAAGAAATAAATAAAAATATCTGACAACAGTACAAATTTCATCAAGAACGGAAAGGAAAGGCTTCATAAATATGCTTACTCTCCGATGAATTCTACTTTTAAATGGAAATAAGATTGAATGTTTCCCAATATGTATTTTTTAATGGCTGGCTCAGATGCTGTTTCACACACTAGCAACATTAATTATCATTGTTTGAGTAGTTAGTCCAGCACAATCACAAATTGAAACAGAATCCTATCTCAACAGCAGCAACAACATTCTACGTCTCTGTCTCTCTTAATTGGCTTATCAATAGCCATAGATGCATAGATAAGCCTGTGAAAAGCCTTGACGCATTGTGCGTTTATTTAAGCTCAAAACTTTTGTTTGGCAATGCATTTGTCCGCAGGCACTGTAATTAAGCCCGAAAGCAACATGCAATATGAACTTCATGTTCAAAACGGGACAATGAAGAGGCAGAACAGACCCCGAGTACATAAATTAATTACATTTCAGACAATGCCCAGTAACTCTATTCGTATATGCCACTAAATGTGTGTGTTTGTGTGTGTGTGTGTGTGTGTTGGCTGTGAAGAGTTTTCCTGGAAATGCTACATACACCATCCATGTTGCCTGTTGTTGTTCGGTGGTGCACAGTGGGCGGTGGGCGGTGGTCGGTGGGCGGTGTCTGTTGGTGGGTAGTGTATGTGGGCTTGGTTTGATACGCGCTATTTAACGCCCTTGCAAAGCATTAAATTTGCTCAAAAACCATAACTTTTAGCACGACTACATTTCGCATATCAATCATACGCACCGTTGGCCCAGTGCAAAAAAGTGCTAGCAGTTGTCGCTGACTCTGAGTTTGACTCTGCTGTTGCTGCTGACACCGCTGACAGCACAATTTACGGTAGATTAATCAAAATGCTTCACTTACAATTTCAATTTCCTTGGTTTTTGGCTCCTGTTCACGTTTCTCCCTTTACAATGTATGGCAAAAGTTCTTCTGTAAGCAAACAGAAAAATTGTGGGTATTTTAGAAGCAGCATTTAATTGTTTTAAAGCTTCTGCTGAAATAAGAATTTTAAGCAAATTAAATACTACATACAGTTCACTTATCATTAATGGGAATCAAATACTGCATAGAATTCAGTTAACTTGATATCAGCGCTGCTATATTCATATGATTATGTAAATTCAAAAATTAAAATCATGTTTCGCAAATAATTTACTTTAACACATATATCGATTTCCCATTATTACCATTTTTTGCTGAGCACGAATAAAACTCAAACAATGTAATATTTTTTTATTATTTAAAGCGATTTTTTGTAGCTCAATAGAGTCTTCAGTGAGTAATTTGTAATAATTAAGCACAGTTTAAATACGCTACATTTGTCACGCTGAAAGGCCGAACAAATATTCGGCAAAATTGTTCATTTCATTTTCAGCAGCCTTTAAAAGTTTTGCATCTTAACTGAACGAACGAGCAGCAAAAAGCAAATGCTGCTTTAAACATGTATAAATAATATAATAAAGCGTCGAGGGTTGCACAATAAACGAAATATGTGCCAGGCCATTGCATTTGGACAAAGGCTCAACATAATTTGCATGACAGGATTTGCGGAGGACAACAAACCAAAAAGCAAAAAGCAAAAGCAACAGCAACAGCAACAGCAACAAGCAGTTGGCAGCTGGCAGCAAAAAACAACTGTCACAACAATGCCAGTTGCCATAAAATGAAAAACCCAAACATACTGCACACAGCAACTCGCAACAACGACTACAACAACAACAACAATGACAACAACAGAACGCAAACAAACAACAGACTGCGACAATTTTCGTGATTTATATCGAGCTGTTCTTTGTTGCTGTTACTGTTGCTGTTGCTGCTGAAGTTTCTGTCTGGAGGCTGCTGGCTTCGAGCTTGGCTCCGGTTTGCAACTTGATTGAAAGGTGTATTTCCTGACCAAAGAACCGAAACCGAAACCAAAACAGCAACAGAAACAGAAACAGCAACAGCGACGGCAACAGCAACAGAGACCGAAAGTAATTTACGAGCCAAGCCCCAAGTATGGTGCTGCAACAATGTAGCCAGCAATCTGATTAGGTGTTCTCTCTACTCCTGGCCAGGACCAAGCTGTTTAGAAGCCCTTTGCGCCAATATCAGGGAAATTTAATTGATCTTATATCCACATGGTATCAAAAAAAGAGATATAAGTCTTTTGAGTTACTATATAGCTTCCTCTGACGATTATTGATGGCTGCATATCCCGCAGACTAAAAGATTTATCTGCATTGACACTTCCATTGGACTGATTGAATAATGCCGGCTTTGGTAGTGGACAAAGAAGTATTATGAGAAAGAGTAGTATACTTTTTTGTGGCTTGCATAGTAGTAGAAATAGTAAGAGTAGACGAACTTATATAAAAAGTAGTAGTAATGTTAGGAGTAGTAGTGGCATATGCCACCAGTTGTAAAAGTAGTTCAAACTTTAACACTTTAACAATTCTTTAATTAAACTAATAGATTTATTATATACTTTCTTTTATTTATATTTTTTTGTTTAGTTAATTACTCGTTCTCAATTTTATATAATCTAATTTATGATTACATTAACATTCAGTTAACAGAAAGTATATATACATATGTAGTGGTAGTGATTTAAATAGTTAGATAGTATGGATAGGTCGGATTAGAAGGAAAGAGGCAAAATCATTGCATAATTAATTAGATTTTGCAACGTGGGGATTAAATCCTTAGTTGTGAAACTTAATGGTTTGCGTAACAGTTATTACACATGTAACTATTTCGCCGTTATGCTTTATCCTGATGATGTCAATCAAGTTTCATTTTACGCAACGCGCTTCACACATTACAAATATCCTCATGCATCCCAGAGAGCAGAGTCATGCTGAGCAGGACGCCAAGGAAACAACAACCCGAACACGTAGTACTTACCAAGAACATGGAACTTGTTGTTATTCAATACTTTGGGCCAGCTTTACGGCGAACAAATTGCACAACATTTGTACGCTTTTAGCGCTTAGCCATTGTCAGTTCGGCTGTGTGAAGGAGCAGGAGGAGGAGGCGAAGGCAGAGGAGGAGGGCAAAAGCAATTTAGTTGGCAACTTGTCAACTTCGAGGGTTTGCCACTTGCTAAAAGTTTTATGCGCTTTCCTTTTGTTGACTTTGTGGGGCGAAAGCTGATGGCATAGACAAGTTCAAAAGCAATCAGCATGTAAATGCATTTGGGGACAACCGATAAGGCCAACAGCTAAAATATTGAGCACAAAAAGCCAATGAAACCGAGATGGCTGCAACAGGGACTGCAACAATGACAGTGAGTCTAAAAAGTATGCAACATTATGCACAATGCGATTGTTTTCAATAACGTTGCAAGCCGCACTCAATGCCAAAAACACAAACAAACAAAAAAACAAAAAACAAAAAAAAACACAAAAAACAACACAAAAGACTTGGCCGGGCCCGGACGGCAAGGACACTGTGAGCCTGCATAGAATTCATCAGGGTTTCCAACACAAGTACGATGCATTGAGGCCAGTCAGTTGGCTAAGGTGGCAAAGGATGTTGGGGATGAGCAATTGTGGCAAGGTCACAAGGTTGCGGTCACGCAAAAAATTCCACTGTGGCAAATGACTAAAGCACAAGTTATGAAAATGTGAGCGGCATAACTTGCCCTAATAATAATAATAATGCTTGTCATAATAATAATGATGGCACGCACAAAATATGTAATGCGACACACAAGTTTTCAAATTTGTGTACAAATTGAAAGCAAACAAGAATCCGCCCCAATCCGCCCATATTGATATAGAGGCAGGGTCCCCAGGTAGCAGATACAACTTTACCAAAACTCGACTTCAGCGTGCACGTCTCAAATACTTTGGCATCCAATTATGGCCCGGGTGTAACAAGTAGTAGAAAGGTGTCTGATTTGATTCTATTGAGAGCTATGAAGTGAATGCTGCCCATTAGATTGGGCAAACAGAATTGTTGTTTAGTGTGTGTTTACCTCTGTCCAAAAGAAAAAAAGACTGTTGTTTGCCAAACGGTGTGAACCGTGTGAATGTTGAGCAACTACAAACCAGATTCGTTTATTATTCATTAAGTTCTCAGGCCAAACTACTTCACTGACAACAAATATTGTCTCAGCTTCGTGGGATTGCCAGAGATTGGTGGATTGAAAAGGTGAAGTTTAAAGAATCTGTTAAACTGACCCTCAACCCAATTCAAACAATCTTAGCTAAAGTATTCATTAAACAGGTCTTTGAATGTACCAGCAACAAGAACCCGATCTTAAAACAATGTTCTTTAAGAACCATACAGAATATTATTATTTATTCTTATAATTATTAAGTTAATTATTATTATTATTAAATTATTCAAATTAGTATTTTTATTAATAGCAGTACTATCAAATCATTAACATTGCATTTCATAATAGGCATATTTTTACCAAAGTAATTTTGGCTATTTTATAGATAAACGTATCTTAGCAGTAGATTGAAAAATCTTCCAACTGATATGCGAAGGTTACCTGGCATTTCCTCCCATTTTTACCAATTACAGATGCCATCCTGCCAACATCATAGCCAACGTCATCATCATCAACAACATCATAATGCCGATGACGATGACGATTTGGACATTTCACGCACTGTGGGCTCCATTAATGGGTCGAGCTAACAAGTTTAGTCAATGGCAATGGCGTCCGAACCCACCGCTCGGACTAAGGACACTGGCACAGGAATTCCTGGGCAGCAATCAGCCCGAGACTGTGACAGTTTTCTATGTTTTTGGCTGCTTTTCATTTCCTTATTTATTCAACAAGTTCCGCTGCGACAGACCAAACTCTGGCACTTGGAGGCACGCACCAAACGGAACGACTTGGCACGCCAACAGGCAGGGTAAGGGGGTAGTGCTTGCCACAGTTTCATGTTGAGGCTCGTTCCAGTGGCAGTTTTATGCGCTTATAATCACATATATATATATATACATATATATATATATATACATTTTTTTGTATTTAGTATATGTCGTTGGGCGGCATCGATTTGTTTGGCATTTGTTGCATGCCACAAGGACACGCAAAGGACCTCGTCCTTGTCCCAGCTCTCAACCCGCCTTGTGACATTGCTTTGACTTGACTTTTGGGCCCCTTTATTTTAGTGGCATTCATTTTGTCACATGTTATTTGTGTCGGAATGCGTTGTCTAGGCAGGGTCCAGGGGCTAGGGTGGCATCGCGATGAGGGGTGGCAGGTAGTGGGGCACAGAACTAAGGAGTTTGAAAGCCTGTAAGTGCGTGTTTATTTGCTCTGTGGGTTGTGAGTGGTTTTTGGGGAATGGCTTAAAGGTATTTTCGTTGCGGCACCTTATCGAAATCATGCAGCAGCCGTTGACAGGAGCCAAAACTCTGGCAGGACCTTGGCATCCTGTAATTGGAACAAGGGTTTCACAGCTTTCTCGCTCTGTGTTTGTGTGTATGCTTATGACAAGCTCATTTAATATTTATTAAATTTGTGCGCTCTCGGGTTTTACTTTCATTTGGCACGTACCAAAACAAACATTTAGCGATGTTGCTTTATGGGAATGCCCTTCTCATTCAGTCAGTAACTCTCATTGGCTTACTCGTTCGGTGTGTGCTCTCTCCTAATTTACCTATTTTTCAGCTAGCATCAAATCTCCGATAAATCTCGGATTTTACTTAATAAAGCTTAAGCTTCTGCAGATATTTGAAATTAAATTTTATAGTAGTATAGAAACTAAATTATGACGGAAGGTTAGTTACGGTTAACGTAGCCCAACATTTGCTTAGTTAAGTAAGTTAGCTAACTGCCAAAATCTAGAATATTTTACTTTATGTAAAAAAAGTGTATCTTTTACTTCGCTCCATTCAAATAAATTAAATTTCTCTTTGCCCTTTGGGCAGTGCTGTTATTTACCAACACACATGAATCCTGCAACAATTTCGAATAT